ATGAGAAGGATTTTTTTTTTAAGATTTATTTATTTGTGCATACAGAACTAGGGTACAGGCCAGAGGCTCAGGCGCGGTAAGAGCCTTCACCAGAGACAGAGTGGGGAACAGAACAGGTAGATCGACGAAGTACACTGCTGAGGGAGCAGTGGGCGGGTCAGGAGAGGTCTGCCACACCATGTGGTAACCTCCGGGGCAGGCGGGAATTGAACTCATGCGGAAGCAGCTTTAGATTCTCAGTGCTGTGCTTTAACCCGCTGCGACACCAGGGAGGGCCTGATGAGAAGGATTTTAAGAGAGCTGAAGCATTTAATTTGTGGGCCATGGTTCCTAAGAAGCTGGGGGTAGCTGAGATCCAGACATGATTAGGCTGTGTAGGAAAAGAGGCCATCATCCTTTGTCACAGGAGGGAGAGTGGAAAGGCTAGGGGCAAACAAGGTGGGTTTGCAGTTTCATAGAGGAAGTGAAGGGTTCCAAGCTAATGCCTTCGGTTCTCTGTGTATGAAGAAGTAGCAGACACGTCTGCAGGAAATGATGGGGGAAGTATGGTTGAGCTCAAAGGCAGCTGAGAAGTTTCCAGACTGTCATTGCAAACTCAGAATTATTGACTCTCTGGAGGGACTGGTGAGAGGGTGCACTCTACAGGGCTCTCAGACTTTTCTCAGGATTCTTTAGAAGTCTGTGTGAATGCGTTGGAAGGTAGATAGCTTAATATAAGTTTTCTCAGTTTTTAGCTATCCTTCCAGAGGTTTCCTTCCTGGCTTAATATATATATCATACTTGAAATTGTGCTCTCTTTTGGAATGTGTTCTTGATTTATTTGGGATAGTGTTCATACAGAAGGGAATTAGCTTAAATGTTTGGTAGTTGTTCATCTGAACATTCAGATCTTTAGAGAGTTATGTCATGGTCCACAGCTTTGGATGGAAACAGATATCAGTTAGCATGGGAAGCTTGCAGTCTTCGTGGGCGTGAGTGGGCCTGATTAGGCACACAGAGGTAGGTAGCGAGTGGAAACTCCCCTGTGCTCTGCCCTGTACACAGCAGATAAGGAAAAGGGAGCACAGTGATGGGGCTTACCAGGAGCCACCAGGCTCTGAGTGGCAGGACCATAGTTTGTATACTGACCTTTTGGGTTCAATGCCTGTGCTCTCTTGCTATACTTTTATGTTTAGGGAAGTAGGTGGTGAGTTACCCCATCTTCCCTTATCATTTTTAATCTTATAGTCTACATGATACAGCATCCCTGGATCCTCATCAAAAACTCATTAGAGAAGGTATCATCATAGTACCTTACAAATTCCCTAGATACAAGTAACATAATAAATCTTTGAGTGGTTATGAAATTTATTCATGTTCAGATTCTCAACTCTTTGTCTTGTGTTAAGTGGGAGTTGGGCACACTTCAGCATCCTGGCAGGAAATAGTTCACAGAAGCTGTTTCCATGAAGACAGAACCAAGATACAGACTTTAGAGCTCTGGGCCCGCAGGCCTAAGGCAACACACCAGGTTGGGGGAGGTGAAGAAGTGCTGGCATTAAGTTGGAGCTGTGGCAGGAGGACCTTGTTTTCCTGAGGGATGCAGCTCTGCCAGACACTGAGTCCAAGCAGGGACAGAATCGCAGAAATGACTCCAACCTCTGTCCACCTACTCCCTCCTGCACCTGCAAGTAGTGTCTCCCAGAGACCCAACCATCAGCAGCCAGCCAGCAAAGTTAAATCTGGGGGCGCAGAGCAGGACTGAGAAAACATCTGGGGGAAGGGAGCCCTGGGGAATAGCAGCAGTGAGGAAATACTCCAGGGCGAGATCTTCTGAAACTTGAGAACACATTACAAGAAATCAAAACATTAAGATGGGAATATAATGTAACTGAAAAATAGGGTAAATTGTGATAAGATGTAAAATCAGGAACAAGTAAATGATGCCGCATCCTGTGTAATATAATCATCTTAAAGGAAAACCGTGCGACCTTAATTCTCCCTGAACTTTATTTTAATACAGTGAATCAGGAATTTTAAAACTTTGTTAGGATCCATTTATTCTCTGCTTTTCCCCTGAAAATATAGATTTTTAAGCCTTTTGAAATAATTTTAATAAAGAATTGCAATAATTTTGAAAGAGTTATATTTTTATTAGGGGGAAATTAATTTACCTTTTTTTGTTTCATTTACCTTTTTAAGTGAAAAATACTTGGAGAATATAATATCAGTTGACAAATGATATGCAACATTTATGGTTATAGGCACATTCATTTTATCAATTTATAGAGAATAAAATCTTCATCTTTAGTTGTATGTTTTGCTAGCTGTGAGTTCAGCTGTTTGGGGACTTACCTTTTGGCACTTTACAACAGTCTCCTTCATCTTCTGGAATTATTGTAAGAGTCAATACAATAGAATATAAATTATAGGTATAATTTATTATCTGCAAAAGTACTCTTTCAAAAACATTTGGAGTTTGAGTAAGACAGAAGATAATAAGACCGAGTGATAATTTTTCCTTTCGGTCAGCACTGAGTTTTTTTCCATGTTGCCATCTTCTTTTCTCTACCTTCATTAGTTTAGTTTTTTTTTTTTTTTTGCCTTGATCTTCATTTACTTAGCATATATTGATTGTATCATGTAAACAACATTATAGTAGACCCCACTATTCCTGCAAAGGGAATTGATGTGATACTCCGTTACCTAATACAGAATGTGACTTTCAAAAAGGTTTCCAACACAGAGATTATTAGGCTGTATATAAATTTATCAGTTTGAATCTGTTCTAAAAATGAAGAGCATAATGCTTCTTTCTGGCAAGTTGAAAATAGAATAACCAGTATACAAGAATGGTTCAATAATGCTTTAATGTAAGACAAATGAGAGGTTTTGGCAGGAATGGAACCTTCTTCTGTTGAAATTTAAGCATAGATGGAGAGTTAATACGTGGAACACTAGGTAGATTACATTAGCTGGTAGAAGATCCTTTTGCCTAAATTATGGTGAGGTCCATCTAGACAGCACATACTAGATTAGGGGACTGGATTTGGTAGTGAAAGCTAAAGGGACCGGTCATTGAGAGAGGTTTCTGAGACTGACTGGAGGGAATCCACAGATTTAGAAATAAAAGCATTAGTACTGCTCCTAAAATCTAGCATTTAAGAATGTTCCCTGCCAAAATTTTGACTGCTGTGGTTGGCGCTCAGTAGCTTAACCTTCTTGCTGCTTTTACTCTCTCTGATTCTCTGCTCTGGCTTTCTTTGGTTGTTACATTGGTGTCTAGAAACAGTTGCAGTTTGAAGGTTACTCTTTTTTTAAAAAAAATTATTTATGCATGCAGAACTGGGGTACAGGTGCAGGGGAGGTGAGAGGATTCACCAGAGACAGAGTGGGGAGCAGAACAGGCAGATCAACGAAGTACACTGCTGAGGGGAGCAGCCGGCCGGTGGGTCAGGAGAGGTCTGCAGCACCATGTGCATCATTTCCAGGGTCAGGGATGGAACTCATGCTGAAGTGACTTTAGCTTCTGAATGCTATGCTTTAACCTGCTGCGCCACCAGAGTAGACCCTGAAAGTTACTCTTCTAAGTGTAACACAATTTAGGATAGTTATTTGGGTTGCTATTAATATATCATGTCAAGAGAGCTCCTGTTTCTTTCCAAAGCCCTCCCCTCCTGTCTGAGCCTGGATGTGATTGCTTTTTTTGCTGGCGACCCTCCATCATCCCAGAGTTGCCTGGCCAGGGATCTTCTGTGTTTTCTGGCGTCTAGTTTTTCCTCTGTTTTTGGAGGCCCTGTGTGTATAGAATGTCAATTTTCCATTTTCACACTTGATGGACAGATCGGATGGATTAAATTGATATTCAGTGTCCCTCAAATTGATTTGTTTTTACACAGTTTGTGAACTGACCTCTTCCACCTCTCTTAGGCACTGCCTATGTTTGGAGGATCATTATTTTGTCCTTATTGCTCCAAAATTTCAGGACTGTGATTTGGTATGGGTCTTATTTTCCTCACTGTGCTGGGCACTTATTCTGTCCTCCCAACCTAGAAATCTTGTCCTTTAGTTTTGAGAACAATCATTACATTATTTCTTAGTAGATGTCCTCTCTTTTTCCTCAATTTTTTTTTCTCCCTGGAACTCCTTTTTGTCAGATATTGAACCTCCTGAATTAATCCTACAATTTTCTTTTCTTTTCTTTTTTTATTGTTTCTTGCTGCTGTTTGTTATATTTTCTAGAGCATTTCTTTAATCTTCTAATCCTTCTTTTGGAAATTGTATTTCTGCCACCATATTTTAAATTTCAAAGTGCCTTTTTTATTCTTAATGTTCCTTTTAAAAAAAATTGCATTTTGTTCTTATGGTTTTAATGACACCTTTTGCTGCTCATGGAACTTGTTACTTCTTGATTCCCCTCCCCTTCCTCATGTTTATTCTGTTTTCCAACTTTTATCTTAGAAGTTTTATATTTTTATAAAATTTCTATTAACTCTTGATTTTCAGTTCATTTTAGTCTCTTTTCATGTATGACAAGCTTACTGACAGCTCCATCTTAAGAAGTGTGTTGACTGGTGTGCTTTACTGTATGGTGATTAGATGGGGACCCAGCCTTTTCTCTGGAAGGAGCCCACACTTAGTGTCCTCTTTTTCTGAAGAACTTTCCATTTCTTCAGAAAAATTCTTCTGATCTCTTGCTTGTTGGGAATGAGTAAGTTGCTATTGTTTGGGGAGTCCATTTCGGGGAGGAAGATAGGGAGTGAGGCAATTGTGTTGTAAAAGAGATGGATGTAAACTCAAGTCATAAGACTTCAGAGTCCTTGCTCTGGATTAGCCTACTTTTTATCTTTACTTTTAAAGCCCAAATGGGAATTCATAGGCTTTTACATCAAGTTTGTCATACTTACTCTGTATGATAACCTCTCTTAGTCCTGTATATTACACAATTAGGAACACTATGTATATGATGATATTTAATTTATTTCCATGTTAGAGATTTATAATTTGTTTTTAATTTGCAGCTTTTTTCAAGGAGCAAACCTCCAAAGGGCCTGTATGTTTATGGAGATGTTGGTAAGTTTGTTAAAATAAGTTTTGGGTGGTTCAAACAAAAAGTTGTCCAGCTTGCACTCAGAGATAAATTGTATTTATATCCCTTGATTTACTGTACTATCAGCAAGGGAATAAAATGGGGCAAAGTAAAATAGCGGGTGGTGGTATGAGGAAGGGCAGTTATCTTAAATTGTCTTAGTTTACATTTTTACTTCTCTGTGTATCTGCGATAGGATTAGTTAGCATGTCAGGATGCAAACATTATTTAATGTATAATGTGAATAGATTTCATGGAAGGAAATCATCTACAGATAAGTTATAAGTTAAATCAAAATCTTTTTTGCTCAGTGTTGTTTGGTTCAGAGTAATATTTTTAAAAAGGAAGCCCATCCTTTTCTTTTAACTAATATTTTTACTCATGATCTAAACCATTGTCTTCAAGTTACTTGTGATCTTTTTTTTTTTTTAAAGGTTTATTTATTCATACAGAGTTGAGGTACAGGCCAGAGGTGCAAGGGCGGTGAGAGGATTCACCAGAGACAGAGTGGGGAGCAGAACAGGCAGATCGACAAAGTACACTGCTGAGGGTAGCAGCAGGCGGGTCAGGAGAGGTCTGCCACTCCATGGGGGTCACCTCCGGGGCCGGGGATCAAACTCCCACTGAAGCGGCTGTGGCCAGCTTGCAGTACTGCGTCCTAACCCGTTGCACCACCAGGGATGCCTACTTGTGATGATCTTAAAGTTATTAGCAGATATTCTCAATGCATGTAAATCTCAATTACATTTCCTTGGTCTCTCATTTGTATACATTAGACACAAAGACACTTTCTTGGAAATCTTATGAGTTGTGACTTACTTTCTGTATTTTCCTACTCATTTCATGTCTTGCCTCTTCTCTTCATTCTTGCTGAAACTGTTTGTATTCTGACTTCTTCCTTTGAACAAATTCTTTTACGCTAGGCCTAAACTTCCCTCTGGTTACCTATATCCCTGATAGCATGAAGGAGGGGTTTTTGCCTTTCTTGACCTTATTGCTTCTCTACAGTTTTCTTATATTGGCATATTCAAAATTCACATTTATGTGTAAGAGCTCACTTTTGGGCTTATGCTAATAAGTAAGCTCCAAGCTCCCCTATAGCAGCTATAACAAATTTACGTTATGATGGTGTGTGTCAGAGTTTATTAGTATGATTTTTAGGGCAAGAAAAAAGACAGAAGTTGAATAAGTACTTACAGTGCCTTAGAGCTCAAAGTCTTGTTTTCTGGATCCTTCTTTTTTTTTTTCTGGTTTATTTACTAATGCCTCTAAATACCTGGCCTTTTTTTTTTTTTTTTTAAGATTTAAGTATGCATACAAGAACTGGAGTATGGGTCAGAGGTACAGGAGCTGAGAGGATTCATCAGAAAGAGCAGGAGCAGAGTAGGCAGATGTACTGAAATACACTGCTGAGGGTAGTAGTGGGCGAGACAGGAGAGGTCTGCCATGCCATGTGGTCAGCTCCCTGGGCCAGGGATCAGACTCGTGCTGCAGTGGCTGCGGATTGCTTCATAGTGCTGCGCTTTAACGTGTTGTACCTGTTTATATGTGCAGATTTCATGAAGTTATTAAAGAGAATTGTTTAGTTCACAAAAATGTATGATTGTCTATTAAGATTCTTCAGGTTCTTGAAACTTAAAGATTAAAAAAAAAGTGAAAGAAGCTCAAAACAATTCTTTTCCTTATTTCACTGGGTAATTTATATTTTTGAGACCAATTATGCTTACTTCTTATTTAGAAAGCAATTTATTACAGGTACGCTGTCAATTTTATGTATCCGAACCTTAGAACACTACTAACATCATCTGTTGTCAGCATTTCATTCTTTAAGAGATCGTGTACTTCCTATGCCCCTACTTTCATATTTAGTCATTTCTAAAATCAACATCTTTGTTTTTCTTGTTACTTCAACCACTTACCCATAAATGGAGATGGTGGTAATGTATAATTGTTTCCACTTCTGCAAAAGGATTAAAAAGTAAACCCACCTAATCTTATGAAAGTTGCTGGATTTTAGTTTGAAAATACAGCCATATTTCCCACAAATTTCAGGGAGTTACTATAAACATCTGAATGCTTGAAAGAGTAGAGAAGATGTGATAACATGGGATTTCACATAGGCTGGAGGTGCAGCAAGACTCAGTTAGGAGCACATTTATAAGGCAGTGAGAGGAAGAGAGAATATTTGAAACAGAACATGTGATGAACCTTTTGGTGTCTGTCAACAATCTGGAATTCTCATTTTCGGGATCTCTGGTCAGGAGAACAGCCTCAGAATGCCTCCATATGTTCCTTCACTATTTTTTTTTTTTTAGATTTGGGCACCTGTTGGATTTTAGCTTTAAGGGATTCAATGGGAAAGAGGACATAGTGCTCCCATTCCACTCAGCTGACCTATGCTTGGCTCAGGTTCTGTTATGCCCACTTCACTCTGCTCTTTCTTCTTAAACATGCTGAGATGATTGACTCTCATGGACACTCAACCCAAAGAATCCTGGTAGAGTGGACATTAAGTTGTAGGGATCATCACCATGGTTCAATCTTGAAATATTTCCATTAATAAAATGTTTAGCACATTTTGTGCAGAAGTCAAAAGCCACAGTAGTAGAGTCTTGTGGCTTCATCCTTACCCTACAGCTGGCTTTCTTCCAGCATTTCAGCTCTTGGCCAGCAGACTGCAGTGGTGATGGTTGAGTGATTAAGGTGGAAGACAAAGTATGTTATTGGCCTCTTTTGTGCTGCCTCCTACTTTCACCCCACCACCTTCACATTGAAAATGGGCTCTGGGTCTACCAGTTGGCAAGTATGCTAGTTTTAAGGTTAGGAGTGGGAAAACATAATTTTCCTGGCCTTGGAGGTAGTGATGGAGGACAGTGCTTCCAGTTTCTTCTGCAGGGGGTCTGTTGAACAAACAACACCACTGGTGGGGAGCATGCTCAAGTAGTCATTTTGGCTTCCTAATATGTATAGACTTGGTGAACATTAGAACTTAAAGAGTTTTATAAGTTACTCTTTAGTAAAAATATTTTTTTGAGAAAAAAGTAAGGTTTTATTTAGGGTTATATAAAACCAAAGCACAGTTGTGAAAGTTGGTAAAATTTAGTATTGATTTCTTCTCCACTTTTTCCCAGCAGCTTTTGCTCTAATTCTTATATTCATTTGACAGAATTTATTGAACATCTACTTTGTGCCAGAAGTATGTTGTTTCTAGAGATGTAATTGTGAATAAAAGCAGACAAAGTTTTTGTTAACTAAAAGCTTATAAATTGGTGCAGTAACTTAGAAACATTTTAGGACATGATCCATAGTAAGAAATTTATTGATATTTTACTTCCAGACTCAATATATGTGTGTTCGTGTGATACATCACACACCTGAAAAATAGTTCCATAAGACATTTGTGCAAAAAGATGCATTCTGGACCCTCCCTGGTGGTGAAGTGGGTTAAAACACAGCACTAAGAAGCTAAAGTCACTTCAGCATGAGTTAAATTTCCTCCCCCCAACCCCAGGTGATCACATGGTGTGGCAGACCTCTCCTGACCTGCCTGCTGCTCCCCTTAGCTCCCCTTTGTCGATCTGCCTATTCTGCTCCCCACTTTGTCTCAGATGAATCCTCTCACTGCCCCTACACTTCTGGCCTGTAACCCAGTTCTGTATGCATAAATAAATAAATAAAATCTAAAAAAAAAATTTGCATTCTGATCTATTCTGTTCTGTTTATTCTATAAAAAATAGTTTTGGTTGTAGTGGTAGTTTGAAAAACACTGATCTAATATTTCTAGTATCCATGACTACATTTTTTTTTTGTATCTGAACTCTTTTATTTTTATTATAATATTTTATTTTTGTGTAATTTTTTGCCTTTTTCCATCTCAGTTGTAATCCCCATGGGCTTCCCATCACCAGTTCACCAGTGTGCCATCACCATAGTCCCATGCACTATCCCATTCTCCACTCCACCCCTGTAGAATGCCATGACTACATTTTTATGTACTAGGGTTTGTTCCTGCTGTTTTACATCTTTGGATATCAGAGATTTTCATGCTAGGCCTTCCCTGGGATGCAGCTTTCTTCTCTACTAGTTAAAAACACTAAATCTAAAGGTGCCTCGTATAGTCAAATAAAAAGATTTTTATATTTGTAAAAATTTTGTGCTCCTTCTTTTCCAGGGTCTAAAAACATTAGTTTCATGTATTTCATCAAGTTGTCTAATTATTTGTTTGGATGGCAAGTCCATAGTCTCTAAAAAATTGCTTTTACATTGTTTTTGAAAATATCTAATTTTTCCCACATGTATTTCTAAGTCTTTCTTACTCCAAGGTTTTACAAATGTTCCTATGTCTTATTATGTGGGTCTTTAATATTTCCTAGTACCTTGAATTCATCTGGAATTAATTTTGGTGGAATATGTGAGGCAGGGAACTAGTTTTCTTTTTTGTCAATATCTGAACATTTGTCTTTAAAGTTTTTAAAAATATGTGATACTATATATATGTATATATACATAGCCATTGAAGTTTTTCAGAACTTTTATCTTAAAAATGTATAAACTCCTAAGTTCACTACCACATTCTAGCACCTAGTATAGTGCCTTGTGTATGGTAGGCATTCAGTAAAAATATACTGACTAAACGAATGAGTTACTAATTTTTTTTATTTATGTGTTCTTCTGTCTCCTTAGTTTCAGTTTATTTGTGGGTTTTTTAAATTATTATATTAGTTTACTTTTACATATTTTTGTGCATTTTTTCATCTCAGTTGCAATCCCCTTGGGTTTCCCATCACCAAATCACCCATGTGCCATCACCATAGTCCAGTGCATTTCCCTCCCCCCACTGGAGTTATTAATTTTATATACGGTAATTTTGATAGCAAAAGGTTGAATTTCTTAGCCTACTCTATCAATATTTTTTTATGATTTCTTCCTTTTCTTTTCATCTCCAGAGAATTTTATTAATAATGTTCTTATTTTAGGGTAGTTTTTTAAAGTTAGGACAGAGATTACACTCAAATATACATTAGTCACATTTTTAATTAGATAACTCATGACTTTTTTCTGAATCTGCAAGTATACTATGCTTCATGCATCAGAATTTAAAGCAGTATTTTGCATATATTTAGTTATTACACTTTACTGTTACTATATCAAGAGTATGGAAATTCTTGCAAAAAAATAACTTTCAATCTATATTGGGCTCTTCAATTTAGAAGCCTGATTGGTGAATTGTATTTCATATGCAAAAAGTTTTCAGTCATTCACATGGCATATAAAGTTACCTTACAGAATGGAGGCAGACCCCAAATTACATTGACTCTTACTGCTATGAACAGCCTGTGAATTTAACTGAACCCCTGTGAGGACAGCATGGAGGAATGTGGTGGGGTGTAATGGAGGAAATAGGAGGGATATCCCTAAGAGCCAGGACCAGCATACCCTGACCTGGCCTGCTGAAGAATGCCCCAAAGCTGGGCTTTCTGCAAGGGAAAGTTATTTGTGCATGTCCTGTTAAGTGCTCAGGCTACTGACTGTCCAATACTAATGTAATTGTAGTGATTAAACGTTTCAGAGATGAAAATTACGTATTTTAATTTTAAAGTTTGACTTTATCAGAATCTCATCAAGTAGGGCTCATTTTGAGAGACCTATATTCTCAGCTTTACAAGAAAAATGGTGTGGTTGACATTTCTTGAGCTCTACACCCATTAATTTATTTACTTGTTTATTTTAAAATATTTATTTATTTATGCATACAGAACTGGGGTACAGGCCAGAGGTGCAGGGGTGATGAGAAAATTCACGAGACAGAGTGGGGAGCAGAACAGACTCCATGAAGTACACTGCTGAGGGGAGCAGTGGGCAAGACAGGAGAGGTCTGGTGTACTATGTGGGTCACCTCCAGAGCAGGGGATAGAACTCACACTGAAGTGGCTCACTTGCAGTTCTGCATCCTAACCTGTTGTACTACCAGGGAGGGCCCTACACCTATTACTTATTTTTAGTATTTATTGTTTATTTCAGTATTTGTATTAGACCTTAATCTTTATTATTTTTCATTTTTGAACTTTCCCATTGTGCCTAAGTCAATTCCTCAAGCTTTACAATGGCTCAATAAATACTTAATCGCTTATTATTTATACTGTTGTCATTTCAAATGGAAATTGAAGAATAAATACCCTATAAGTCTTAACATTTTATGAACCTGGTTCTCTGAGGGGCATAGCCCATGTGATGTTAACTAAATATTGTATTTCCAGAAAAGAGTAATAATAACATTTTATTTTTAGCTAGTATAACAAAAAAATAAATACTCCTTTCTAAAAAAGTAACATAGTCTTAAGCTTTCCAGTAGAAGAGAGTAGTTTCATTATCTCAAAGCTAATGAACAATCATTAGAGTAATCAGTACATACTGTTTAGTAGTATTCTTTTTTTTTTTTTAAGGTACGGGGAAAACAATGGTGATGGACATGTTTTATTCTTATGTGGAAATGAAAAAGAAAAAACGAGTTCATTTTCATGGTTTCATGCTAGATGTACACAAAAGTAAGTTAATGATCTGAAACAATGTGATTTTAAGCGGGCAAACTCTACAAAACAGTTTTCCTCATCTCTTAATAGTCTTAATTTTTAAAAATATCAGATTTTTGTATAGGTGAAAATTTATTTGGTTTCATGTAATTTATGCTACATTGAAAAGTAATGTGTCCCAAGTTTGTCCTAAAGACAAATGTAGTATTTTCTAATTAAAAAAACTTAAGGTGGCTAAATCAAGCTCATGCACTTTGTATTTCTATTGAGGACTAATAAGAAGTATTAATAACTCAACTGTTTCAGGAAGTTATCCTTGATCAAGTTCTTTCTTTTGTGTCACCCATGGATGTAGACAATTAATTTATATGTGCATGTATTTGTGCATTTATGATGGGTAGTGTTCTTATGTATTTAATTTTTGCATTATTTTTCTAGTAGTTCTACTGTAACCTTCCCCCCAACCCTTGGAACCACTGTATTTTTCTTCTAATAGTTCTAGCATTTAGAACACTTATAATAATTGAAGTGGAACTAGCTTTAGTGTATTAGCTTCATGACAAGGAAACATCTTGATTAGGTCCCACATAGGACAGGTCACATACTCTAGATGATCCTTGAAATCCTCAGGACTAAGATCCATCTACCTGTCCATCCTTCTGGCCCCCACCTAGTGAGCTTCTATCACTCCATCACCTTTGAAGTGATAGAGAGTTGAGGTGGGATGACCACTAGGTGACCTTATAATTATGGGATGTAATCATAAGTGAGCAACTTATTTTGAGGCAGAGAACATACAACCAATTTCAGTAATCACATTTGGTTGTATATAAAATTTAAACTTGATATTTCTGTTCACACTAAAGTTTCATTAGATTTTAAAGTGGTATAGTTATCAGCAGTCTACTATTAATGCAAAGTTTGATTTCATTTCATCCATTTAAGGAATACACCGCCTTAAACAGAGTTTGCCAAAAAGGAAAGCAGGATTCATGGCTAAATCGTATGATCCAATAGCTCCTGTAGCTGAAGAAATCAGCGATGAAGCAAGTCTCTTATGTTTTGATGAATTTCAGGTAAGATAGAAATTTGTTCATAGATGTAGAATATGTTGAGTGAAGTATGGAGATTCAATTTTGGCTCTGATTTTATCATTGTTTTATTAATTGATTTGGCAGATTGTCTCTATGACTTTAATTTCATTATCTGGCTCAGGGATTGACAAATTATGGTCTGCATAGGTCAGGACTGGTGCATCTATTTTTGCATGGCCAGTGAGAAAATGATGATTTTTATATTTCTAAAGAACCTTTTATAAAATGAAAAACAAACAAAAACAGACATACATGTAGCTTGCAAAGCCTAAAATATTTATTGCCTTGCCAGCGTATAAAAGGAAAGGTTTGCCCACACCAAAAGTCTAGTCAATTTTCTCTATACCACAGAGATAATGGAATGATACAAAATTATGTCTTTCAGGTTATTTAAAATTATTCTATAAAAAACAAGTGATTCACCTATCTCATTGAAACCTGAACAAGGGGAGGAATTGTCCTAGTCAAACTTTTAAAGTTTCTTCTGGTTTTGGTATTCTTTGCAATTGTATGTTTGAATTGGTAGTAAGTTATTTCCTGATTTTTATTTCTTATGAGAGAAAGTAAATATGTCATGTGGACCAACACTATGTCATTTGCTTAATATGCATCTTGCCTTGTACACAGTGCACTATGACCACCACCAGTAGTACTCTAGGTTAAGAATTACTTCCTCTTCATTTGACTGCTTTCTTTAGTAGCTCTGAAATGTAACAGTTGCAATTTATATAATGCTTATTATAAGACCAATTGATTATTGGAATGAAACCAGAAGAATCTACAAGTATTAACTGGAAGCTTAAAAATAGGACTTCACTATATTGTAAAAATTAAATATTATTTTAAAAAATAAAGCTATTTTCAGAAGAAAAATAATTAAATTAGGACTTCACACTAAAAGCTTTGAAAAATATCTTTGGAGATAAGTTCAGAAATGTCTGTCGCTGATTGCCCAGGATCAATTCTGGGCAACCTTAATAGAAAACTAACATTAGCTGTGTGCCTCCTCTCTGGTAGGCCTGGCAATTCACACATCTCATTTCAGCCTTGCAACATATTTATGATGAAATGAAGGAATTGTCCTAGTGAAATTTAAAGTTTCTTCCATTATCCGTGTCATTCATAATTGGTTTGATGTTTATTTGTTTACTCACCATCCTCATTGCCTTAAGAGTCTTCTTCCTATCCCTTGGGTTCCCTCTCTGTCGCATGGTTAAATGGACCATACCTGGGTGTCCATCCTATAAGTAGCCAGTTCATGAGTTTTAGTTCAACACCTTTGACTTGTATGGTGTGACCTGGGGGTTGGGTCAGTCATATTATTTATTTCATGTATTTGAATGAAAAGTCACCAAGGAAAGCTATCTTTATATAGGGACAGGAACATGAGTCATAGGATGTTGCTAATTATATTAAGGGAAGGAGCACAGTAAGTCCTCACTTAACATCATGGCTGGGTTTCTAGAAACTGCCTATTTTAGCCAATTAAAAAAAAAAAGATTCGGCCCTCCCTGGTGGCGCAGCGGGTTAAAGCACTGCACTGAGAAGCTAAAAGCCACTTCCGCATGAGTTCGATTCCCGCCTGCCTCGGAGGTGACTACATGGTGTGGCAGACCTCTCCTGATCCGCCCGCTGCTCCCCTCAGCAGTGTACTTTGTCGATCTGCCTGTTCTGCTCCCCACTCTGTCTCTGGTGAAGCCTCTCACCGCCCCGAGCCTCTGGCCTGTACCCCAGTTCTGTATGCACAAATAAATAAATCTTTAAAAAAAAAAAAGATTTATTTATTTATTTATTCATACAGAACTAGGGTACAAGCCAGAGGTGCAGGGGCAGTGAGAGTCTTCACCAGAGACAGAGTGGGGAACAGAACAGGCAGATAATCGAAGTACACTGCTGAGGGGAGCAGCGGGCCAGTCAGGAGAGGTCTGATGAGTAAGGTGGGTCAGCTCCAGGTGGGAACTGAAATCGCACTGAAGTGGCTGTAGCCAACTTGTAGTGCTATGTCCCAACCTGTTTCACCACCAGGGAAGGCCCTATTTTAGCTAATTTTACCATGGACAAAGCGATATAAACTGTTAAATACCTGGGGCATATTTCTGGTCACAAACACACCCTGAACTTCTAAATAAAAATCCCAAACACTCTAATAACAGATATTTTGTATTCCTCGTTCATTTTCCAATCTGCTTATTCCAGGTAAGGGTCATCGGTGGCCAGAGCTTATGCTGGCAGCCCAGGGAGCCCGGTGGGAGTGAACTGTGGAGAGGATGCCCTTCCATCTCTAGCACCACATCCTCCTCCACCCCATCACTCCCTCTCACACATACACTGGATAATTGAACCTAACATGCACATCTTTGGGATGTGGGGGGAACTGGAGTAATTACATACAGACATGGGGAAATGTGCTAAGCTGAGAAATTAAAATTTTTCCTTGTCAGTGTTGTAACACTGGATGAAAAACGAGGAGCTGCTTTCCTAGAAAGCTGCTGAGCTCACTAGAACTACCTCTAATCCCAGATCACTCTTCAGTTTAGTTCCCTGGAGGTGCTATCAGTGTTGGTTCCATCCTGGAGTCTCAGATAAACCTCTTTTCTTTAGTTGAATCTCCTACACCTGTTTTTCCTCAGTCATGCTGAGAATGCAGCTATTCTACTCATGATTTTCCTGTCTTCTGTGTCAAGAGAGATTTCCCTATGCTTATGAAAGAGAAGTACGGTGAGGAAATATCACCTGTCTTAATAGAAAAATCTATTACCTTCAATGGAAAGAGAATTACCCAATGGAATAAAAACCAAGAATAAGGAGATGAGTTGCTTTCTAGAATGCTTCTGGCTGCAAGTAATAGAAAATTCAATTTAAAAGGGCTTAAACTCTCAGGGGAGGGGGTAATTGGTATACCAAATAGCATCATTACCCTGTTCAAAACTTCCTGCTTCCAGAGTATAATGGACCAGGCGAAAAAATAACAAAAATAATGAACAACCATATACCAGAGACTTTTTGTGGGGGTGGAGTGGGGAATGGGATCAAAAACAGGGGAGTGGGGGAGAGAAATGCACGGGATTATGGTGATGGCACATGGGTGATTTGGTGATGGGAAATTACAATTACAATCCGCGGGGATTACAATTGAGATGGGAAAAAAAATGTAAATGATGTAAAAATAAACTTTTGTATAAAAAAAATAAAAGTATCTAGGCAACCATAAAAAAAAAAACAAACTTCCTGCTTCCTTTCTGACCTTGTCTCTTATACTTTCATCCTTAACCATTGCTCTCTGTTAGATCTTATTTCCTTCCTAGATTAGGGAACCCTAGTTAATATTGGGTATTATACCAATGCTTCTTTCCAACCAGGGCTCTGAAAAAAATATGTGCGGAGATGACAAAATCTGACCAAATACTACATTGATTACTCTTAGTTGATCCCAAATTTGAGGGTAGAATTCTATTATATCAGTTGGCAATGTGGGAGACCCTCCTCCTTTCAGCAAAGTTGGCATGAATGTCCTAGAATGAAAATGTTAATAGTCTTGCTCTTTTATTTCCTATTTGATTCCAAACTTGAATTTTGGAGTTTACTACTGGATGCAAGGAAAGGCGAATGTCTGCATATACCCAATGCTAAGAAGAGCTCGAGAAACAGAGAGAAGAAAGGCAAGCATGTGTTCACTGAGGGCAGACATGACCACTGGGCAGAGCATGGATTGCCTAGTTTCAGTATACTGACTGTCCCTGCTAATCTTTTTATTTTTTTAAAAGATTTATTTATGCATACAGGACTGGGGTACAGGCTAGAGGTGCAGGGGTGGTGAGAGGATTCACCAGAGACAGAGCAGGGAGCAGAACAGGCAGATCTACGAAGTACACTGCTGAGGGGAGCAGCGGGTGAGTCAGGAGAGGTCTGTTGCACTATGTGGATCACCTCCAGGACCAGTTATCTAACTCTCACTGAAGCAGCTGCTGCAAGCTTGCAGTGCTGTGCCCTAACTCATTGAGCCACCAGGGAGGGCCATGTCTCTGCTAATCTTAAAGGAACTTCTCTAGCACATCAACACTGGAGTATTCCAAGTCCAAATCTCTGCTTACTCCCTTTCCTAAAATCCAAGAGGGCAAAAGGATGTCCCAGAATAGCACTGACCAACACTCTGATTCCCAGCATCCGCACACTTTAGAATAAACAAGTAGACCCTTTACACTGGGTTTCTTTCTGCATGGAACCGGGCAGAGCATGGATTTCCTAGATACTCTCGAATCTCTCTCTCATTTCTTCAGACCTTTCTTCAGTTATCTCCTTGACCAGACCTATACCTACACCCTGTTTAAAATTGGGATTTGCTATTGACCCTAACATTTCCAGTGACCCTCACCTGCCTTTTCTTTCATAACATACGTTACCTTAAAAGCAGATTTTTTTAAAATAGATATTTCTCCTCAGGGATGTAAACTTAAAGGCATGGCTCTTTGTTTTGCTAATTGATGTGTCTCAAATATCTAGAATAGTGCCAAAGACTCAGTCATGAGTAGTAATAGGAGATGAATAACTTTTATTACCAAATATGATAACTACTACTTCTTTTATATATAGTAACCCACATTTTTTTTGTCAGCATACTGAATTATCTTAACATTTGTGTCCAATTAATAGATAAAAATGGTATCTCATTGTTTTAATTAATACTATGGTTGAATTTTTCCTATGTTTATTTACTAGTAACAGTCTATTTTTTAACTGTCTCTTTGAGGCAATATCATTGTTTATTGGAATGTGAATGTTTATATTCTACTGATATGTGTATTCTGTAATAATATTAGCTACTGTTATATTAAGTCCTTTCTTTGTGCCTGTGTTCTTAACTACTGTGCATCAATCTATGGGCAAAATTCTATACAGTTATATATAAATAATACGGAATTATGCTAACATGTATACCATACATAGACAATGGTCATAGTTAACATTTTTGAGGGCTTACTATATGCATCATAACAAATATGCAAGGTAGATGTTACTTACTGACATCATTGTATTGATGAAGAATTCAGTGTCAGAGAGGTTAAGTAACTTGTCCAAGGTCACCCAGCTGGGAAGTAAGTTTAAATCCATCATCTGTACTTTTATTCATTAGTATTAACAGTTTTGTCGCTATTCTCCTTGACATGTGATGTTAAACCTACTCTATAATACATCGCTGATTTACTAGAAAATAATTGTTTAGGCACTTTATTCTTAACAATAGCATGTTTACAGTCACTACTTTTAAAATTGAGTCGTATTAGTTGTCTTGATTTTTAATTTGTTATTGGTCTTTTGTTGGTGTTACTATATTTATTTTACTAGGGAGATGAATGGGAATTATTGCTGCTTAAAAACAAGCATATATTCTTGAATTGAGGGGGTCTTTAAGATTATGTTTTGGTAGTATTCAGCTTTTATACTTGTGTAACGTGTTTCTCATTAGCTTTGACATTTTTACTAAATGTAGCATTGCAGTTTCACTTGTGGTATCAGATACACTATTTGCTTGAGAAATGTGTCTCGGAAGATTGTTTTTATCTATTTTAGTTGCTGAAATAAAGGAATAGCTTTTCTTCAAAGTTTTCTTTACGGTTTTCATTATGTCCTCCTTGAATAATTATGTTTCTGTTAAATGGTATGTGATTCTAAAGGTATCAGAATGCTAAAGGAAACCAATTTTTAGAAAAGGTTATTTATTCTCTCTTTTTAGGGCCATTGGATAGATGTTTACTAATATGGACAACCCCTTCCCCAAGCAAATAATTCTGATGAGCAGGATATAATGCAAAATTCTCCTCTATATGCTATCAATATCATTTAAAAAATAGTTTTGACCATTTTTATAAAACAGGAAAGCTATTAAAAACTGCTAATAAAAAATAGGTGCTTATTTTTGTGCTAATACTAATTACTGATAATGCATGCTTATGTTTGTCACTCATTACATGGCACTGTACCAATCAGTGGATGACTGAGACTCAAGCACTTACACATGTAAATTAGCCATTAGATTTTTTTCTTTTTTTCTTGAGTCATAATGGAAAGCAACTCTAGGTCATAAAAAATCTTTTCTCTTTAATGCTAATGAAATGTCTCCACTCTCTGTATTAGCACACTACCCTTATTGGTAATCTGTAGCCTCCTCTTTTGTTCCTGGTGGTAATGAAAGGCTGGGTGCTGAAAAAGCCCGCTCTCCAAGAATGTGTGGCCAATTGTCTTCTGTTCACTTATACTGTAAAATTACTGTTCCCCAGCAAAGCTGAACAAGTGCCGGGACAAGATCAAAAGAGTGTACGCTGGCACTCGGCTATACCAGGTGACTCCTGCTTTATTAATTAGCCATAGCTTCTCCAAGTTAATTTACTCTGATAGAGCAAAAACATTCCGTAACACAAAAACAGCAAATTATAATTCAATCACAAGTCTTTATTGTTTGCTATCCTCATTTTCAGTTTAAACCTTTGCACTTCACTCTAAGCTATGTCCCTTTACTTTACTGTTCGGTAGGCCACAAAAGCTTAAAATTTTATTTTTTTAAAAAAACATTGGTGATACAGTCAAATGACAATTTCTTATTCTCTAAAATTGGGTTAAAGTCATTGAATTGGAAATCCAATTTAGAAATGCAGTTGCTTCTAAAATTTGCAAGCTTGTTTTGTCCTCTCACCAGAAATGCCACTGGTTCTTAAACATTTGAAAGACTTTCTCTGTGAGTGTTTTTGCAGAAGCAAAATTTGACAATAATATGAAACACTAAATTAAAATAATATAAGTACCACTTTCCTTTATATTTTAATCACTACTTTGGAGTTTCTGAAGTCTTCTTAATGTAAGGAATCATTAGTCATTTTTTAACAGATGTTTTAAAGTTATAGTCAGAGACAACAACAAAAAGATCTTTATGTCCCTACTTTCTGGTTATATTTTGTTTTGTTCAGGTGGAAGGAAGTAAACTTTTGAGTATGATTTCAGTTGTACAGAGAAAACTGTCTTAGACCTGTGCAGCCCAGGTTGTTGTGAATTGTTATAATCATCTAGTTGGTAACCTTTAATATTTTACCTCATTTGAGAGACTTCTACTAGTTTCTATATATTTTAACATGGCTTAAAAATATATGTTGTGAATATAAAGCAAGTTTTATTGTGATTATCTAAAATGTACTATTAAATAATGATCAAGGTGGCTTGACATTGGGAATACCTAAAAACCCACATTTTAATATTCATTATATTTGCATAATACATGGAAATTGCAATAGTTAATATCAACCTTTTACTATATTTATTTTTAAGTCAGCTTCCCTCTTTAGTTGCTGTATTTCTTTTGTATTTTTTAAAAACCTTTTAAAATGTTATAACTAAGCTTATTAATTGTGGATTAGAAAAATAATTTTACAGAAGATCAGTAGTTACGATGATAACTTAGATGACAGAGGTTTATCTGCATCATGCATTTCTGGTTTGCCAGAAGTTATTTTTTTTTAAAGCACAGTATTAATCATTCTTACAAGTTTTTATTTTTGAAATTTTTTGGGTAGAAGCAATATTTGTGTTTGCGAAGGTTAGCAGAGGCTGGCTGTGCTGGAAGTGACTGCAGTGCCTTTTGATTATTCATGGACAGTAATAGAAGGCACTTAAAAAGAACAATGAAATTGCTTATTTTTGTGATGGACCATCTGTTGAATTGTTTTGTGCAACAATTGCACAATAGTATCTATGTCATATCATTCTATTTTCAACAGCAGCTGATTATGTCTCACTGGCTACTTGTCCTTATTTCTAAAGTCCCATGACTATTTAAAGTCACCTTTCCAGAGACCTTTGCCAGAAAGGTATTAGAAATCTCAAATAGTCTATCTATTTTTCTTCTTTTTTCCCTCCTTTTTTTTTGTTGGGGGTTGGGGTGAAGGTGGGGTGGCTGTTAATAGGAATAGGAGGGGGGAATTGGTCATGTTAGTTCTAATTAATTGGATTCCTAAATGTTTAGAACAATTATGTGTGCTTTCCACCTGTAGTTCTATAAATGAAGTTAACACAGAACCACTTGATAATTTGCATGGAAACGATAAGCTTGCACAAAAAGAAAAAAGTCAAGTTTAAAAGACTTTTATGCAGTCTTTCGTGCTTTTAATTATCTGTTTTTTTTCTTCATGATAATTAGAATTTTTCTCTTGGAATGCACTTCCATCTAAAAAAAAAGAGCCATTAGCAAATTTGTTAGAACAGAAATGAAATTAAAATAAAACAAATGTGTTGCTGTCCATAGGTCACTGACATTGCTGATGCCATGATTCTGAAACAGCTTTTTGAAAATCTGTTCAAAAACGGGGTCGTCGTTGTGGCAACATCCAACAGGCCACCGGAAGGTAAAAACAAACACTGTGCTAGTCTCATCCAATTAGGTGGTGGAAACTAACAAGCTTTTAGAAATCCATAATTTAGGATTCATTTTATTGTGTTAATAAGCCTGATAACTTTGCTTATTATTAATTTTATAAATTAATCTGAAAAATCAGTGTTTTTTATTTGAAAAAAGTTACATTCTTAGTTAGATAAATTCAGGTGACCTGTGCTTGATGCACTTGCTGTTTGTCTGATTATTCATATGTGCATATCAAAAAATGGAAGCCTTTTTACTGTTTTGGGGGGGGCTGTAAAAGAAATTCAGTGAAATGAAAGACAAAACTTGTAATTAAATATTAGAAAAAGTCTTAAAGCTTGCTTCTGTAAGTAGTTTAATTGACCATTTCTACAACAGCACTTGTAGCTTATTAGGAAATGATTTAAGAGTTAAAATACAAGTAATGTTTAGATAAAAACAAGAAGTTTAAAATCATGTATTTTTCAGTCTTTAATGTGGTCAATTGAAGGTCTTACTAACCAAAAATAATACCTTATGCATTCTTAATGTTAGCATTTTCCTTCCCCCGGCTATCTGACTCAGTGTTTAACTCCTGCCAGTCTTTCCTTTAAAGATACTTTGGATGTATTTATTTCACTACTTGAAGCTACACCCCATCCTGCTTCTTTTCTGTACTGGCTATTTTTTTTTTTCCTGTACTACTTGTGGACCCATTATGTAATTTACTAATTTATTATATTTATGTGTTATTGTCTGTCTCCTTCTAGAATGCAGTAGCTTCATGAGAGCAGAGGCTTTTTTTTTCTGTTCACAGATGCTTTCTAAGCACTTAGAGTGTAATGCTTTTGCGCATAGATTCATCTCAGTCGTGGAATAATATTAGTCTTAGAAAATTAGTTTTAGATTAAATGTTGAATGAGTGTATATTTTAAAAGAATCTTTATGGCTACAATACTGAGAATAGACTGAGAAGTGGAGTTTTGAGGTTGGAAGTAAGGAGATAATTTAGGAGGTAATTCCAACAATTCTTAGCTGGTGAGAGCGACCTGGATATATTCTGGCTGTATTTTACAGGTTGAACCAAAAAGGTTTACTGATATATAATGAATGTGTAGGGCATGAAAACAGAAAATGGGATCAAGAATGACTCAAAGGTTTTGGCCCTAGCATTTGGAAGAATGAAGATGCCAAGATGTGAGTTGTCTTAATAAGGTTAAAAACTAAGCCCCTTACTCTTTGCCCCACAGGTATGTTTGGGAGGCTTGAACAGATAAAGGCATTATCTACCTTAGGGACAAGGCCATAGCACTGACCACCATGACCAGAAAAACCAGCCCAGTTCCAGGAATGCAGAAGTAGAGGCTAAGACATGTTTTATGTAAAAGGCCAGAGTTGGGACCAGACATCCCAGCAGATAACTGGTGCAGACTGGTGCCCCAAGTTAGAAAGTCCTTGAAAATAGTGTATAAAAGAGCCTCAGATCCTCCTCTGGGCATGGACTTCTCCCATCTCACCCTCTGCTTCTCTTAGCAAATCTACTTTTTCTTTTCTCCACTCTGTCGCTGGCAAATTCTTTCATCCCCATCCATACCTTTGACCTTGCCCCAGTGTTTTTCCCAACCACATGGAGAATTACAAGGAAGTATATTTGGGTAGGGAGATGGAGGTAGGGGATTTTATATATATTCTATAATATGTAAGATAGATGCATGTAAGAATTTGTATTTCAATAGAAAAATTTGGGCTGGATATATGAATTTCAGAGTTATCAGTCTTGAAGCTGAAAGGAGCAGCCTTTGAGGTAGAGAGTGCATCAAGAGAATGTCAAATGAGGGGGGAGAGTGATTGCCTTTTTCAATGACACTAGGAGGTAAAAATGAGGTTGAGAATTGACCAGTGGAATTGGAGGAATGGAGCTCACTAGTAAATGTGACAGGAGAACTATAATAGTGTGAATTTATTTTTAAAATAAGCCATGTCACATTGATGATATAATTGAATATGTAATATATGAGTATACCTAGTTCTTACTATATGAACTACTGTCAACCTAGGTTTTATTCATTATGTACATGTATATTTGGTTTCTTTTACTTCCTGTTACATTTTAACTTACTAATTTGTTTTAGTTTACCGATTTTTATTAACATATTTTGAAATATGATTCTAATGTAAATTATATTTAGCTATGACTGCTATAACATTTATGAGCTCGGTAATCATGCTTTTCTATATATTCAGCTCTTCATTGATTAAAATTATAAATAGGATAGAACTGAGTTTAGATGACTTATTTTAAGTAATCAATACTTTTGGATCCAGTAACTCAAACAACAATTATATCTAATCTGCTACATTAGAAAATAATGATGAATTATTTTTTTAATGTGCTTACTAGAGTCCATATAATGTTATATAGTAATTCTTGTGATTTTTCTAGTAATAGCAACCCTATGAGCCAAACATGAGCTTTCCCCCTTTTTTTAGTGATTTATTTATTTATGCGTATAAGAGCCAGGGCATAGGCCAAAGATGCAGGGGCAGGGAGGCATTGAGAGGATTCACCAGAGACAGAATGAGGAGCCAAAAAAGTGGATTCAAAGAAATACACTCCTGAGGGGAGAAGAGGGCAGAACAGGAAAGATCTGCTGTGCCATGTGGGTCACCTCCCTGGCCAGGGATCGAACTCATGGTGCAGTGGCTGCAGATAGCTTTATAATGCTGTGCTTTAACCCCTTCCATCACAAGGGAGGGTCCCAAACATGAGCTTTTTAATTTTAGATTATCTATCTTAGTGAAAGTGAGGCTTAACTCTATGCTAGGTGCTTTGTTGACTTAGCAGTGTCATCAGAATTATCTTTAGCTATTAGGCATCAAGCTGTGTTTATAAATAGCAAGATATCAGAACAAGATTGGAGTCCTCCTCTAGCAAAGACTGCTAAGAAGATAATTGTAGTTGGATTCTTGGGGAACTACAGAATGACAAATTGATGAGGGACAACTATGGGAAGAGGTGATGGAACATTTTGGAGCTCATTGCTTTATAGGAGTGATCCATTTGGTTTGGTAATATTTTGCTGAGATATTTGTACTTTTATGTGCATCAGAGATACTGTAATTTTCTTTGTTTATAATGGTTTGGCATCAGGGTAATGTTAGCATCAAAATTGTTTATATTTTCTTTTGTGTATTTTTTT